GTATGAAAGCATTGTAATGTTTACTGATAATCTGTCAAATTTCGTTAACATTCGCTAACTAGTTTGAAAAGTTATAACAAGAAAACTTTAACAAGCACAAAGTGGTAACAAGGTCAGTCCCAGGGACAGAGCTCGTACTGAAAGAGATAATACAATCACTCAGTTCTGTGAAAAAACAATTTATTGCCTGTCTAATTTTTCAGTATTTTTGGTATTCATGTTGAGTATTATATAAGATTGTAACGGATAATTCCAGAACTTGTATGTTTGGACTTTTAGTCAAATAATACAATAAAACAACATGCAATTTGTAACAGGATAATTCCAGAACCTGTATGTTTGGACTTTTACTCAAATAATACAATAAAACAACATGCAATTTGTAACGGATAATTCCAGAACCTGTATGTTTGGACTTTTACTCAAATAATACAACAAAACAACATGCAATTTGTTAAATTTATTTTGACTCAATGACTACTATTATTTTAGAAATATTATGATGAATTACATAATATTACAATGTACCTAACAGTATATAAACTTCCATCGTATAGTGCTAATACTTAGTTTTTGAAAACTAAATTTCTTTTCACATATTTACATTTTTTTTTTTATAAAATTCCCTAAAAGCGTATTCATTCACATAAAAAAAAACGTGTATTTCAATTATTTTTCATGACTCTAGCTTATCGATCGAATAGGCTTTCATACTTATTGGAATTTCCTACCATTCGGAGAAACTCCTCATAACTTAGCATTCGATCATTATCCCAATCAGCTCTTTCAAGAATCTCATCGAGAACCCCTTCTGGAAAATCATTACTGATCTCGGACGCGTCAGACTGAAGAAGTACTTTCAGTTCATCCAGCGGTATCCACCCATCGTGATCTGAATCATACTGATAAATACGTTACAGTTAGGGAAACTTGTAAACCATTATATAATCATACGGGTTTTCATTACGAAAATAACGACAATAAAACTTGTACAATCTAGTTTTTTTTTACTGACTATAAAGATATTTTTGTTTTTTCATAGCATTCTCAGCTTGAAAGTTTTTACCAACACATATAATCACATCTGATTCATAGGCATAGGAAGAAATAGGATATTATTAGACCTACAATCAATATAGTGTGTGGTGGTTGTTTGGTGATTTTAAGAAACCCAAATAGAGAATGAATAACAAGTTCAAATTTTAGTTGGACGACAGACAGTCGATACACCTACGGTCTAACCATTCTCAGTTAATGTGGAATATAATAAACAGATGAACTGTCTCGTTACAGTGTCGTTTATGGTTCATCTTATGTTCCAACCTTGCAATACCGTATCACAACTCAGCGTAAAAAAATTAAAAGTGGTCATTATTTATTTATTTTCCATGTGATATTTTCACAGTTTTATTTCTGAAGAAGGGAAAATATAATACATTTAAATGGAATGGCATCTAATTCTTGTTTTAAATAATTCATTAGTAATTCCTTCAATCTGATGGTAGTCATAATTATAAGCCAGCTGAAAAATCAGGATTATTGACAATGAAATCCAGTAAAAATTAATTTTCATATAAACTTACAAAAATTGTAAAAAAAAAAAAAAAAAATGGAAGATCATAATAAAAGCTATGAAAGAATACCCAAAATACAAACATTAATGATAATTCACACAGTAATCAACAAACACGTACATAAAAAAAACTTAAAAGTACTCCAGAGAATTCAAGTAAATCCAAAAAACAAAAACACTAT